GGAAATTAGTTTGTCAATGATTTCAATCTCCACATCTCCTAAAGCCAGTGGAGCAGCCATAAGCAGAGCAGTCAAGTACTGGCTGCTAATTGATCCAGAGAGCTTTACCTAAAAGATAGTCAAAAAAAAATAACTAAAGCAAGAATTTCTGAACGATAACGGTATTCTATGCTTCGAAAAAAGAAAAGGCGAGCAAAAGAGACTGTTGACAGAACACTGTAATAGCAATATTACTATTCATTAAGTAATGTTGCAAGTCCAACTCCTACCTATAGTAGTCCTACAGGTTAGGGTTCTTAGCTTCTTGTTTTAGGTAAGTTTTATTCATTGGTTTAGGAGTTGTTTGATACGCGCGTGACTTAAATTGTAAAGATTGAAGTTTTATTATTCTTTTTAAAGCTAGGGAAGATAGAGGTAATTTATTTTTTTTATAATGAAAAATCCCTGAGGGCAGTGGTACGGTTCGAAACTCAGTGGATAATGGCCTTGCCCCTCTACCATTCTCAACTTAAATACCAGACTTTTGTCTCCGGCAGGGTTGAAACCCGTGGTGTGCGCAGTGCGCCTAATCCAACATGTATTGCGCGATTACCATTAGACCAAAGCCCTGGGGGCGAGATAGAGGTAACTTTTAAACTCTTTGAATCCTCTTTACTATAAAGAAGTCTCCATAGTAACTTTTATATTAGAATACTTAAGAACAGTGAAGGGAATAAGTTCCTCTTCTAAAAAATGGGGAAAATTTTCCCATAACTATAAATAGAAATTAGGACAGTTGATTCCGCAATGATGGCGAATTATTTTATTTCCTTGTAAATAGCTTCTTCATTGACAAGAACTGTGATTCCTGATTTGTTTGGGAATGTAGTTCCTGAGTCCTATTTCTTATAAAAACAGCTAGCTATATGTGTTTGAGCTTGATACAAATTTGTAGTCATTCAACTTATTACTGTTAAGAACTTTCGTGTTTGGCTTTTGAGTTCAATTTCTTCCAAACATAAAGTACCTTAACTTTATCAGCAAAGACTTCTCTGCTTCAGCTTAAGATAAGATTTCTTAACATTATAGATACTATATAGTAGAATTTGTAATCCTCACCTTCCCTCCGGGAAGGCCTCCCTTGCTGACAATTCGAACAGGAGGACATTTCGTACCAAGGAAACAATCAACCTCTGCACCAAGCTGCTTAAGACCATCAACCAAATCACCAATTGGTCTCTCTCTCATTCGAGGAACTCCATCAAGTACATACCTGTATATGAGAATGATAAATTTAAGTTAGTAACGTTGTAATCATTCCGCACTAACCTTTCTGCTCTATTTGGCTCCATGTCATTGAAATGCTTTAACTGAAACCTAAAAGGATAAATTGGTATGAAGAGGGATGCTATTAGACCTTGAATTTCCGCCAGCTACAGCAACGGCTGCTGTTAGTGGCCGCATTGCAGTTCCTGCATTTCCAAGGAAAAGTTGAATTTCTTCCTTGGACTCTTTACCAACAGGGAATAGCCCACCAGAACCTTCAACAGTTGCTCGTTGGTTAGCGATGTCTTCTTCTACATTCAGTCCGAGTGTTTTCAAGGCACCAAGCATGTAATGAATATCATCGCTGCTTAGTAAATTGTCAACCACAGTAGTTCCCTGAAATTCAAATGCCAGTTGCATTTAATGACCACAAAAGATTATTAAGATACACAGCGAAAATAATAAAGTAAAAGAACATCGCATCAAGTAAAGGAGCAAATGAAACCTAATGTAATGATCATCTTATGCAAAAAGAATGAAAAACGTGAACTTTCACAGCTTAAAGAAGTTCAACACGTTGATCATGGTTCAATACGTTTAGGGATTGTTTGGTTCACATGTTATGTTATTAAAGGCATCTTACACTTCGATTAAGGTGTTGCTAAGCACACATTTCCGTCCCCACACTAACCTTTCTAAGGGGGAAAAGAAGAGAAAACTTCAATAACATATCAAGCTAAGTGTTAACTGTAAACAATGACAAACTTCAATCGGGAGTATGCAAAATATTCCTTTTCCTTTCTTTTTTCCTTTTTCATAATAAGCATACCATTTCGACCACAAATTGGCCGTATCGAATGTTCGCATACACAAGTCATTCTTGTGTTCTGCTATCTAACCAATGGAATCGTTTGGTTATAGGAACAATTAATTCCATTACAAAATTCAGCATAAGACAATACATTGTTTGCTTGATGGCATAAGATAAACAAACAGAAGCCGCATAACTTATGCAGTGTATGGTTGGCATTATGGAATTATGCACGAATTTATGTATTTTATGAGGGATAAATTGGGGAATAAGAACATGCAGCAATGCAGTGATTAAATTATGTAGACAAAAATGCCCTTTTAGAGTAATTAATTCATGTATTACAATCTACAATCTCGTCGCTATTAGTCATTGCATAAATAATAACTACCTTATAATCCCGGCACGACTAACCTATATTGTGCGGACTCCCCAAAGTGATGACGCACCCGTGTCGTATCTTCCAAAAATGTGAACGCACCCGTGTCGGATCCTCCAAAAATGTGAACGCACCCGTGTCGGATACTATTTTTGGAGGACCCGATACAGGTAAGTCATCACTTTGGGGAGTCCCAGCCACATAGCAACTAACATGTGAACCAAACAATCCCTTAATTATTAGTATTGCATGCATAATCCCTGCATTATAATTACGGCATAACTAACATGTGAACCAAACTATTCCAAAAAATTGGCTACACACACATGTGTGTGTGTATATATCAGCTACTTAATTACCTCAGATAGGGCAGCAAGAAGGAGAATACGATTGGATAAGGATTTAGAGCCAGGTAATTTAACAGTGCCTGATATTTCTTTAATTGGTTGCAGCACAATCTCAGTGGGTTTCTGTGTTGTAGCCACTGATGCTGAAATCCTAAAAATTGAATCTTTTTTCAAGAC